TCTTCTAACAGAAAATAGGCCTCTGACTTTCCAGTTTAAACGGATGTTGACTTGCCTAAACTGTGTTCTGCCATGATGGGCCTGATGGAACGTGTATATAGTTTTTTTGCCGCTTCTAGATTGTTCATTCAGCTTCATTTTCTTTTCAAACGCTGTATCACCGTCCTGAATGTTAAAAAGCCTTTTTGATATAACCAGAGTATAAGGTTAAGTTGAAAATTCACTTTTTTTTAGCTCGGTCAAAGGAACCCAGGAGTTTGGTATTTGGGAGTCGCAAAACGATAAATGCTTTTAAATTTTCGCTTCGACTGCGATTTTGTCGACACACAGGTCGTGGTGAATTTCACCTGATCCTCGCAAACCAAAAGGGCTTTTGCGCTTTGTCGTTCTTCGTGAAACTACAAAATAAAAGGGCTTAAATCTCCTTTTTCTTCCTCTGAGGTTGGTGGTTTTCTAATAACCAAAACATGGCATGTGGAAAAACTGGTTTAAGCGGGGAATTTGAATAAGTGGCTTATTTAAGTTATCAACTCTACTGCGAAAACCTCTATGATTTGTTCATATCTGCTTCAAACCAAACAAGTATTTGAGAACTACTCTCTAACAAAAATTATCTGTTTGAATTTGGAAAGTTGGAACTTACCCAAAAGAAGGGTCTTGAAAAAGATACCGATCTCGGCGGCAGCAAACAGCCGAGCTATATGGCTGATTCACGATTTAATATTGACGATATTGTGATATTTTCCTTTGGCTGAAGACATAGAAGAGAACACATGTGTGGACTCATCAGAACAACCTATTGATCCGATATAAAGTTGCCAAAGACACATATCTTTTCACATTGATTCATCAGCTCCAAGTTTTGCTTGATTTTTTATGCAGTCTAAACCTTCCAGCGGACAGTCTACCTATCCGTTCAAAACGTCAACCTGCTAATTTCAGATGGCAAGAGGCTCAATTTGTTTATCCGTCGCACTGACAGCTGTGCCTTGTTTATGCCTGAACCGTCCTTGATTTATTAAAACGCTTACTAAGCCGTATCCACAATACGGCGCAACCTTAGGCTATTCAGACTGACAAGCACTCGTTAGGCTGGTTCTTCACAGGAGATTTTAGTAGCTTTCTTATTAGAGTGTCTGTCAGGTTAGAGTATCCTAACATGTAAAGTCGACAGAAGACGGTATCTACTGACATTTTTTCTGTTTCAACCATGAAATTTACGCACTAAAGCAGTTGTCTGTAACGCTATTGATGCGCTATTTTGTTGTAATTTCTCGCGAATCCTGGTCGTGTGTATTCGGTGAGGGTGGATTGCAGAAAACTGCCCACCTAAAGCTCATGCTCGTTCGCCTGGCATGACTCAGTTATTTCGTGCCCTTAAAACGGGGCACGCGGAAGAGTTGTGGTATCCGCACAGGGTCTACATCGGAGCCCGACAGGCGTTATCGAGAATGTACACCCATAACAAATGCTAAAATTTGGGGGTGTGCTGGCACGTCTAAGTTGATGTCCATGTTGCCCTCAGTTTTGTTTGTGTTAAGTCTTGATCAATGTGCGTTGTGGACCAGAGGAGGGGGGTGTGGTGGTACGCCTAGATGCGGGTTCTCATCGTGCCAGTCACCTGCGCCTTCTCCCGCCTCCGATCGTCTTCACTCTGTCTTGACACCGGGTCCAGGTGGGCTTGGGCAAGAAAAAGAGCGGTAGATGCGGCGAAAGTCCGCTGCTAATTTATACCAATTCATGCGCTAATAGCCGTGCCTGATCTCCCCCTGTAGTGGATCACACGGTAGACATCGTCGCTCACGGCGGTCGAAATCTCACATTCGTCGTTTTTTGTGAAACAACGGTGGGTGCAAAGCGAGCAAGCCACCCACATTTTGGGTGTTCTTCCAAATAATTGGCGGCAGTGAGCCACCTCAAAAAAGTATTTGAATTATAGGCGCAAAACAAACTTCTTTTTAGAAAAAACAAAAAAAGTTAATGTAACACCCTCATAGACTGCCGCAGACTCAGAACCTGTTGATATTCACACGCCCCAGCTGCAGAAAAAGAGGAAGCTGTTGGACCAAAGGGCGATTATCAAAACAGGCTCAGTAGTTTATGCCAGGCGACAATGAGGTGCTGTCACGATAATTTGTACGTTTTGGCTCATTAAACGAGCTCCGATCACACTTTCGGGCTCGGTTCGACAAGCTCAGAGTCCTGGCGAGGGGCGACGACCGCGTGAGTCTGAAACCACTTTGGTCGTGATTCTTAGCCCCGCAGTTCATCAGCAGGCGTAACGACCTCTCATCTCCCTACTCAGTGCTAAGACATCGGCTAGACGGAGTAATTTGTCCCGCGCTATCGGACACTGCTTCACGTGAGGGTAAAACAAAATGGAAGTTTCAGTAAATGTAGTGCTGGTCTAATTACTGACTCGATTACGGTCATCCAGACATTACTTCACCAAATACGACTGTCTCCAGTGGCTGTCAGAGTTGCTAATTTTGGTAGGCATGCGGTCACAAGACAACGACATGTAATGAACGTCCTTATGCGCCAAATACTCTTACTTCAGGCTGTCTCTAATGATGGACTCGAAATGTCGAGTGACTGATATGCTTGTCCTATCAACCTAGGTCAGGAAGGCATCGTCCAACGTAAAAAAGGGCAAAGGTGACACCTTGTAAATTAGCAATCCAAAATTTTTAGAGATACCCGAAGTGGATGTCGTTGTACTGTTCAACTTGTTATGTAATCTCTATCCTTATCAATAACTGAACAAATGATGGTCAGTTGGGACGAAATAAAATGAATGGAGTGGGTGGGCAGGCGTTCTATCCCAAAATCTCGAACCTTGTTCTGAGTCTGTCGTGCCGAATGCCATCTTGCGTTGTCGGGCAGTAGAATGACACTTTTTCTATTGATTGGCGCAAGAGTTCTGCTCAAGCGTCCCACTTGTTGAGAGTAGAAATCTGCTGTTGCGTCCCTACCATGTTTCAGTGGCTTAAAGTGTAGTATGGCTACCATGAACCACTAAAATAAATAACTAAACTTCATTGGGCCATGAGCTTGACTTCGACGTAGGAACCGGTGTCTGACCTGAAAAATGTCATTAGTATTTGCTCTGATTGTTGACGTAAGAAGTCCATTTCTTATTTTCACTGACAATTGGATAAAGAAATGGTTCGCTAGGCTGTATGCTTACCAAAAATTCGCGGATTATGGAAGGTCGGAGTTTGTTTTCCATCGGAAGTTGGCGCGGTACTCATACTCCTTGTCTCCTAACGCTCCCTGTCCGTAGAAAGTGCTTCGGAACAGAAGATCACGATAAATTTAAGTTCCATGATAATTCCTTGACGATATCACGGCGATCTGCGTCATTGGGTATGCTCAAAAGGTCATTATACAGTTCCACTGGTCTTTCCTGACGATGGACATCGGACTGGTCGAAATCACCTGATTGAAATTTTACGAAACAATGTGGGCGAATGAAGACAAATAAGGTCCTGGACAATCGTCAAAAATTGCTGTGGAGGTTGTTATTGCGCTGTTTTCCCCGTGAAGTCCGCACAGGATATACTAACGAACGTGAATGTTCTCGGATTTATGTCCCTCATTCTGTCGGGCCAAATTAAAAGGCAAAAATTTGTATCAAAATCTACAAATCAAGACCTGAATGATTTAAAAAGACGCGTGGTTCAAATGCAGAGGCCCTAAAGACTTATTAAATAATATTCAAGCATAAGCCTACAAAAACGACATTACTTTCCGGAAGATCTAATATGTGAAAAACTATCTTAATAGCTTAAAAGTATGAAAGTTTCGGACGATAACAAAAAATGCGCAATGTCACAACAAAAATCTCAATAGAATAATAAAATTACGCTAGGCAGATCGGCAGACTTAAATGAGTGCAGAGTAGAGAATGATAAATACTGCATGCAGCTCATACTTCGTAATGGATCCGGATGTTTCGGTGTACCAATGGCCTATAAAACTTACTGGTATGGGTTTTGTTTGTCAATACGCTATCCCGTTCTGATTCCATGTATGCCATTTTGTATAATGATCACTGCTTCCGAGAAAATGAACCTTTTCTACAGGGTTAAGCCTATTGGGATTCGTTGGAAGATATGTGGTGAGGTACCTGACTAATTTACCTTTGACAATTTGGTCCCGCATTTGGACCGCATTGCTTGTTTGAATGTGACGTAAAACGACACACCTGCACAACCCGCCTTGCAAGCGTGCTCTGCAGTGGTATTCTGTTGTCAGTTTTCTTAACGTTCAAAAACCTCTATATTATTCACTGCTCCGATTTACTTGCTGCATTTAAGGCTAGGGGCTCGTGAGATATAACTCATTAGTTCGTGGGAACATAACGATTTACAACATTGGTGACTCCCGACGTTTACGCAGACTTTATACCTTTCTGTAATACTGGATAACATTTAATGTACTATTTGCTTGCGAATATCTATTCCATTAACATTCATTTTCCTCACGAATTCTGATATTATGTCTCACTCCGATCAACAACTTGATGCCCCCGCCCAGTCCTTTCATGCAACCAATTTTACCTTGCCTGAATTCTGGCAACACGCTCCAGAACTTTACTTCATCGGCATAGAATCATCCTTTTATTCTGCCAACGTTACCAAGGAGCTAGCAAAATACCACAAACTTGTGGAGGTTCTCCCTGCCAATATTATCTCACAAGTTCAACCCTTGCTAGTGAAACCCCCTGCAGACGCTCCCTATTCTGCTCTGAAGGCGGAAATCCATCGTCTCAATGCTGTATCTGACCGACAACGCTACCACCAGTTGATCAAGGAGGAATCACTGGGCAACCGAAAGCCCTCAGAACTTCTCCGACGAATGCGTACTCTCTTAGGAGGCATGCAGGTCGACGAGAAACTCGTTAAAGAGATGTTTCTAGAGCGGCTGCCTGCAGATGTCCAAACGATTTTGGCATCCGGCTCGCAAGACCTTACACTATCACATCTTGCTGAAATGGCAGACCGAATGATAGAGGCTCAACAATTCCAGCCACCTTCCGTTGCTCAGATTTCCACATCCTCTTCAACGGTTAACGAGCAGTTACTGCAACAGATGTCGACTATGGCGAATGAGATAGCCTACCTAAAACTACAACTTGCTCTCTGGTCCCAAGGGTCCCCTTGAGTTACGTGGCCACGCGCTGACTGCATTTGAGAGAATAAAGACCTCCCTTGCTGATGCTACCTTGCTCACTCATCCTGCTCCAGAAGCCCCATTGTCCCTGATGGTTGATGCTTCGACCGTTGCCGTAGGAGCAGTCCTCCAACAGCATATCAACAACTCGACACGACCGTTGGCATTCTTCTCCAAGAAGCTTTCACCTGCCGAGACGAGATATAGTACGTTTGGCCGTGAACTTCTTGCCATTTAGCTAGCCGTAAAACATTTCCGACACTTCCTTGAGGGTCGTGACTTCACCATTTTCACAGACCACAAACCACTTACATTTGCCATCCGATCCCATTCTGACAAATATAGCCCGAGAGAGATTTCTCATTTGGATTACATCTCGCAATTCACCACCGACATCCGCCACATTGATGGCCCGAAGAATGAGGTGGCTGATATGCTGTCCAGACCCTCACTGTCTTCCCTCCAACTCTCTCACGGGATCGATCGTTGTGCCATGGCGGCTGAGCAGCAGCGAGTCGGTTGTCCTGGCGACGAGTCTGTTAGTGGTCTCCAACTCAAAGACGTTCCTCTGACCACCGGCTCTGGTACCATACTTTGTGACGTCTCAACTCCCTTTCATCGCCCTTTTGTGTCCGCCTCGATGCGTCGAGCTGTATTTCAAACTCTGCATGGACTCTCCCACCCTGGGATCCGAGCCTCTCAAAAGCTCCTCGCGGAAAGGTTTGTCTGGCCTGGCATGAACAAGGACGTCAAAGCTTAGGCCCGGTCGTGTCTGAGCTGCCAGCGCAACAAGGTGCAGCGTCACAACAAGTGCTCACCAGACACTTTCCCCAGTCCCGACGCACGGTTCAGCCATGTGCATCTGGATGTCGTAGGCCCCTTGCCTCCATCCAATGGTTTCACCTACCTCCTTACCTGTGTCGATCGATATACTCGCTGGGCTGAAGCTATTCCTTTGCCGAATGTTCAGGCTGAAACCATCGTGAAGGCCTTCGTCAGTTGTTGGGTCGCCATGTTCGGTGCCCCATCCACGGTTACGACTGATCGTGGTGCCCAGTTTGAGTCGGCACTCTTCCAAACGCTACTCAATTTTCTTGGCTGCACACGCATTCGGACGACAGCCTACCACCCAGCTGCCAACGGTATGGTTGAACGTTTCCATCGCCAGCTAAAGACCGCCCTGCGTGCCGTAGAAGACCCAGGAAACTGGTCGGACAACCTTCCTCTTGCACTCCTCGGCATCCGCGCAGCTCTGAAGTCGGATCTGGGCTGTAGCGCAGCTGAACTGGTTTTCGGTACTACCCTCCGACTGCCAGGCGAGATGATCACCCCAACCTCTCGTGGAGCCGACGAGACTCCTGACAATCTTGTGCACCGTTTGCGGCAATTTATGCGCTCGCTTTCCCCTGTTCCACCTCGAGCTCCAATGACTGAGTCTTATGTCGAAAAAGAATTGGACAAGTGTACTCATGTGTTCGTCCGGTGTGACCGTGTGCGCCAGCCGCTGGAATCACCTTACGAAGGACCGTTCCGCGTGCTCGCGCGCAACGCCAAAACCTTCCGGATTCTTCGCAGTGACAAGGAGGACGTGGTCAGTGTCGATCGGGTCAAGGCTGCTGTTGCAGAGGAGCCGCCGGACCGGTCACAAGGTCAAACATGTGCTGACCCCCTAACCCCTGTTCCTCCATCTTCCCTATCCCCTACTCGTTCACCCTGCCCACTGCCTTGCCCTTCCCCTCCCTTGCCCTCCACCCCTCCGTCCCGCATACTTCCTCTCCCTACATGTCAACAACATCCAACTGCAACACCATCGTCCACCACAGCACGCAGTCAACCCTCTTCGACTATACCTCCTGCATACATAACTCGCAGTGGTCGTCACGTTCATTTTCCCGATCGTTTAGTTACCCATTTTTTTCTAGACTTGTGCATATCCTCCGGCGCCGTATCCCGTCGCCCTCCGGTCTAGAAGGGAGGTACTGTGGTGAGGTACCTGACTAATTTACCTTTGACAATTTGGTCCCATTTCCTTTGACCGCATTGCTTGTTTGAATGTGACGTAAAACGACACACCTGCACAACCCGCCTTGCTAGCGTGCTCTGCAGTGGTATTCTGTTGTCAGTTTTCTTAACGTTCAAAAACCTCTATATTATTCACTGCTCCGATTTACTTGCTGCATTTAAGGCTAGGGGCTCGTGAGATATAACTCATTAGTTCGTGGGAACATAACGATTTACAACAGATACGCTGTCCCAGGACGCTATGTAGAGTTGCAGACTGTAATCAAAAGGTGAAATTGCCTAGTCGATATACCGATTTATATGTATTACAGTAGGTGGGCTAACTCATGAGATATCAACCGAAATTCCAAAGTGCGTACTGGGTTCGGAAAGATTTATTAAGTAGGGTTGTAAAACTACTCAGCCTGCAACATAATTCTATGATATTCCATTTGCACCAGGATGCCGGCTTTGGAATAAACTTCTATCCAGCCGCAAGCACAAATTTCGGTCTGTAAAAAACGACTTCATATGTAGCGTGAAGTTTTCTCATTGATTTTTTGTGCCCCTAAAAGTCCAATTATATTTCATGGAAAACATGCAAAAAATATTAATTCTTTTGCTCATTCTGTTGAGAATTACGTCTTCTTCCAATATCGTGCTCGAAGGAAGGGTATTATTCCATTTTCGAAAACTCTCCAATTCCCGAATTATTTTGAACCCAACCTGCAGTTACACTTGCATTCGGGGTTCCAAAACTACAAGTCATATATTTTCCGCGTACGGAAAACCACATATTTCTCTAAGGTAATAAAGGGACCACATAGGTTTCATAAACTTTATCAGTAGATTTTATCCATATTGTTAGCTTTACAAGCCACATTAAAAAATGCAGAGACATGACGAATTATAAACGGCCATTTAACGGTATTTAAAAGTTCCACAATTAAAAACGTTTCAAAACCGATTTATGTCCCTCCATCGAGTATAAAATTAGACGAAGACGTAATTATCTACCGAATGAGCAAAAGAATGAATATTCTATGCATGTTTTCCATGAAATATAATTGGACTTTTAAGGGCATCGAAAATCGATGAGAAAAATTCCTGCTACGTTAGTATTCGTTTTTTGCAGAGTGTAGTTTTTTCATGCAGTTGGAAGTAAGTTCGTTCGAAAGCCGGCATCCTGCGATATCTGAAGTATTATAGAATTATGTTGCAAGCTGATCGGTTTGGCAATGCTACTTAATTAATCCTTTCGAAACGTGAACGCATTTCGGAATTCGGTTGGCATATCATTAGTTAGATCACCTACTGTAAATGAAGGCTTACTCTGCAACACTTCTTTGTCCTTCCTACGGTGGTGTACCCCTAAAACAGGCCAGGGATCTGATGAGCTGGATTAACACAAAGGTAAGATAGGAATCCGGGGGTTGTTTCGGGAATGCCAACATTGGGGCTGTGGCAACAGACCCAGCTGCAGGCGCACGACATGCAAAATGAGACCCCCTTCTATCTTGTCGCAATAAAGTCCTGATCAGTGTGCATTCCAGACGAGGGGGTGTGGTGATACGGTTAGGTGCGAGTTCCCGCCATTTTAGCCACCTGTGCCTCCGGTTTT